CTCTTTTCTAAATACTTCTACATACTGCCACTCACAACCTCAGCACACTGAACACATTTGATCTAGACATAATCCTTTCAAAGACTGAACTTTATACGTTATTACGGATCCAAATTATCATTTTATCTCTTCTTGTTGTGGTTTTATTGTTAGTCCAATAATATTAAAAATTTTTATTAGTCGCTCTCAATATAAGATGTTAGCCCGTCTTATGTGCTTACTAATCCAGTGGCTCACTTTTCATCTTGTTTCCTGAGTTCTCTTCACTGACACCACCTTCAGCAATCAAAGTACCTTTAGGCCAGATGCAACCCAATAATTCGACAGTAATGTATTAAGGGAAAGGAGTATACTGTAGTATAAAGCTGATTGAAACAAAATACTTTGCATGTCCATAGAGTGTTCCTTGTCTAGAAACTTTTACTCTTTTAAGGTCTATAGGGATAATTATCAACACAAAATAAATGAGCACAGTCAAGTCAGCGTGATAAAAATCGTTTTTGGTGGTTGGTAATTACGTTCTTCTAGGTCTTAAGAAATTTCTAGAAACGACTGGTGAGTACTAAAGTCGAAATCGGCTTTTCCGATATGTAAGAAAAGTTCGATGTGATGTAATAGACAGTCAACGACCGAAACTCCTAACGTGTATAATTGTTATTGGCTCCACCAGTTGATGCTTTTAAGAAGCTGTCTTCTAAAGCATGCTCACAACGAAGACTCAATTTATTTATCTTCCGCGAGTCGGAAGTGCTCATAAATAAAACTCAAAGTACGTCTAAACATAATCTAGTTAAAGTCTTTGACATATAATCTACTCCTATGCACATAGTAAACAATCATACAATAACAACCGTAGTCTTAAAGTTCAGCGCACAGCGAAAATTACCGCCTGGAAACATGTTCAAACCTTGGGAATCCACTTCATTGTTTTGTAAGGCAACCTAGAGATAAACAATAATGGAAAATTTAAACCTGCCTGGTGTTTTTGTAGTTGAAACTAAATGTAACGCACCAGTACTTGCTGAATAAAAGTCACAAACCCAATAATAAAGCTAGGGATTGAAGACTTGTCTCAGAAACCTGGCTCTCTTAAGAGATAAGTGATATCAAAGTGCGAATCTCGGGCTACCTACTGTGCAGAACTGACATACTATGTTACAGAGGCATAAGAACATCTATATAATCTGTGAATATAGTGAAACAACAGAAAAAACATGTAAACTAACAGTGTCATGCAAAAGTAAGAGAGTATTATGCTGGGTCAACCTGACTATAGTTAACCTTCAGATGGTAGGCTAATAAATTCCCATTTAACTGTCCAGAAATCCTGTTCGAATTTATATAGGCGACTTCAGTGAACCTAATTAATAATAAGTTTGTGCAACGAAGCCGTTTATGAACTTTTGCCACAAGTTGTAAGTGTACCGTTCCCTTACCCAACATCTAGGATGTAAGTAGTGCAATATAGTCGTTCAATTTCCAGTGCCCCCAAACGCCCTGGTACGGCTGAGAGTGGGGAGAGTCCGCTCTCCCTCTCGAAATGCTCTCACATGGCCACGCGTATATAGCCTCTGCCAGAGAAGTCCTACTCACTGCCTACTCGTGGCTGGGGTGTTGTTTACGAAAATGAGAGGACGAAAAGCGAATTTTCGGCGCTTTAACCAGATCCCAAATCAATGGTGCACATGGGCCCCAGTATCCTGAAGGATCAAATGACGTATGAACCAATCGTTGGTCACCGGCCACCATGGGACTGCATCTACTCACGATGCTCCACTGCTTTGTGGGTTAGACGTTCAGGTCGAAGGCTCGGGGTGTGGCCCCCTAAGAAAACCACCTGCTCCGGTTTGGACACCCGGGCAGTATCACAGCCCTCACACAAATCAATTGAGATTCGTGTGGCGCATATGTATTTGGTGCCTCCTTGTACCAATACCTATGTGTTAAAATAAATAAATAAATCAATTTCCAGTCCTTTTGCTGTTAGCAAAACTAGTAACCTTTCTGAAGGGTTTCATTGATGAAACAACACAACTACAGATGAGCCAGTTGCTTCTATCTTGTTCCCTGTCCGGTAGTTCCCTATCATTTGTACGATGTATAAAAATGGCTGATAATTCCTTTCCGTATCAGTCTCTGGATGAAGACTGATATTCATTGTTATTATGTGGTTAGTTCGATTGTTCATTTACTTTGGTCTTCGGATTCGCGTGTGCTGTTTGAAGCGTTCCTATTTGCACTAGATGATGAGACCGAATTGGTATTAACATTTGTGAATCTGACGAAAGCTTTTAAATCTATCCCATTAGCACTAGTAATAAAGAACAAAATATACCTGTCCGAAAATATAAGCTGTATAACGGAATTCCTAAATGAACCGAACTATATTGTACAATCCATAAAGGTGTAAGAAAAAGAAGTAAAAAGAGTCCATTCCTCCTTAAACTTGTTTTCTAAGAAATGATGAAATCTACCAATCACCAAATAAATACTGTGGTTAACTTGGTAGATAAAAATGGAATCTCCCATGTATAATATACGGAGAACCTTTGCTTAATAGGAAACTCGGAGAAAGAAGTAACCGTACCGTAGTATGGTATGATCTTTTAAAACTCTTTCTGTCAGTAAGTCAATAACTTCTGATCATTGGTAGTAGAGTGAGTAGTGATAGAGATGTTCCTTCTTAAGCTGAATCCACTATTGTTCACGTATTGAGAAGAATAGGTACGCGGTAACTAATCTCATGTCCATCTCTGCTATGGCTTTTCGAGTTGACAGTGTCTAACTGTGATAATAAAGTAGCAACTATAGCTATGCAATCGCCTCAGAAGATTGCGGGATCGAGATGCATCTATTATACCCTATTCATTTATATCTTAATATTCCCTGTCGAATTGTTGTTTCTTTTAAGCTCATTTTAATTTCATAGTTCTTGATTATTCAAACCAGTGATTCACGTGTTACCACTCATCGCTTTTATTTTTAAAACTATCGTAATTGCTCTCGGTGTTAGTGTAATATGAATAGTTTAAGTATTACATTAAATTCACGTGATTAGTATAAAGTCATCTTCGGTACACTGTTTCTCCATTTAGAAATCAGTCTAAATCTGTTAATCACACATGTGACCAAAATATGTCGAGTGTAAAAAAGCAACCAGTAATCACTTATATATATTCAACTTATTTTTAGTATGTTAATCCAAGAATTAAAGGAATATCAGGCGACGATAAAAAAGAAGTATTAAGAAAGCTACAACTCTTGTGTCGATACGATAGTGAGGTAAGTTACAACCACTGATTTATTTTAGAATGAAATGGTAAATTTAGAAACAATTACAAACAAATGGAAAAAAGCAGCTTGGAAGGCACTACAAGAACTGATTTCTTTTTCTGGAGAAAAAACAACTGAACAAGAAATATTAAGTAAAGTGGGGATAGATCCTGCTACTATCACACTAAAATCAGAAGAATTGTAGCATCGGACAAACAACTGTTTTTATAATACATATTCACACTCCGATATGGTTGGTAATTTACAGGAAAACTTCACTTTAGTCGCATGTGTCCAACTCAAATATGTAAATGCAATTAGAGTATATCTAGTATGTTTAGGTCTGCATCACACTCAATGGTTTATTATAAACAGAAGCGTGTTTGTTAGAAACAGTAAAATTTAAATGCTTCAGGCAAATTGGTTTAACAGTTGCCGACTTTTCATTTTTGCGTACTTTTGTCCATATTTTTCAAAGTACCTACGTTTTAGTCAGTCTTAGACAGTGAATATATAACAGTCTAAATGACTATATTTCATATCAACACAATGATAGGAGGTTGACCAGATGGGAATAAGAAGAGAAGGGATAATACCATTTGCAGTTGAAAGCAAATCAGATTAAGAGATGGAAAGTTTAGGATAACAATAGACTTAAAATATGGAGTGAAATGAAATGATTGTAACTGTATCACTTCAACCTATTTCAAGTCTTGTTCTCCAGTGTCTCCAAATATTGCGCGAGTTACATCTGGGAGGTATCCAGCTTAAGCATTTGTCAGTTAGCATTGTGGGTTTGAAGCTGGTTGTGGCTAAGCATGTATGAAGTAAAACAAAACCAGCTTTTGATGCAGTGTGAATAATTGCACATTGAAGCTTGTGTCTTAAACAGTTTTAGAGCAAATCAGCAGTAGTAGGTTAATTTAGGTCACTTTGGTTCTCAATAATGTCGTGACTCTTCTTTAATCTTTGTTAATTTAATGATGCCTTTTTGTCCAAAAGCCAGTCACTATAGTTTTGATATATAAAACTGTTGGTCTTTGTGTTCAGAGATAACATTTATCCGTAAGATTTGCACTTTACATTATCAAAACACTCCATAAGAACTGTAGGAAATATTTTTGAAATTGTGACTAAAAGTAGAACTTAGTTGAAAAGTACAAATTCTGCAAAGCCGACATGTTATCCAAAGTATTTATCGAGATTTAAAATTTACTGCGGAAAGATTTCAGTGCGTAATCCCCATGAACTGGATAAGCTTCCGATTTATGATTTTTGCCACTTAATTGTGAAGGGTAAATGGAAAAACCATGGTCGCTTTTTAATGGTTCAGAATCAAATAAGTGTTCATCAGCATTTTGTGCTTGACTGACGTGAACGAGTCTTCCCTTAAGCTTAACGGTCAAGCTTATGTACCAGTAAAACCATTGAGACTAATCCAACTTCTATTCCACTTGTCATGCTCTCAGTTATTCTGAAAGTTCGTCCATTACTGACCTTGTTGGCTAATCAACCCCTCTACACCATGTTCTACTGGTTTTAAAGATTTGAGTCTATGAATCATTATCCTTTTAATCTATAGTAATAACATGTGTCAAATAATTAGAGGAGCATTAAACATACTTCAAGTTTAGCAGTAACATTTATATGGCAATAGAGCAGTAGTAAAGGTAGTCCATGTAGTCTGTTTTTAACCCATTTAACTAATTTGCAAATACCATTCATAAGATCATTTAATACAAAATATATTAGCAAATGAAGAATTTTCACTTCACAAGAATATTTTTTGTATGTTGTACAGAGGATAATTATGCAGTCAGTGAAATCAGTGGTTTGAAAAATAATAATTGTTCTCTAATCAAGTTTTGAAATTAAAAAAGGGATGATTGCACATACTTCATAGGTAGTAAAGATTTTGAAATTATTGAAACAAAAAAAACATCACAGGTCGGTTACATCTTCTTCAATCAAATCTTTTATATAATCAGAACTGAATAATTCAGGTAGTCCACTTTCAGAAAACATACTACTGAAACTAGTATTCAATGGAAGCTGGCGCCAGTCTTGTCCATCGTTATTATTGTACTTTAAATCATTTGCTGTATTAAAAAAATTGAATTAGTTCAGTTAGTTGAATCAAATAATTGTCAATGAATAGGATAAACAGTTAGTCCATCATATAAAGGTATAACGGTAAACGTAATAAAAAATTTGAAGATGCTATTGAAACCGACCTGAAAACTAGGTTGTACTGTATCAGTTGGTCCATCTTAGTGTAGGACCGTTCAATAGTACTCGCACAAAATAAAACCCAGGAACTTCAGGTTAACCAGTGAGGATGATAACATTCAGTGAAATTATTTTAATTGGTTGGACTAGAATACTTTATAGGGCACTGGGATAAGATGAATTTCTGCAGTAATCATCATACTAACTACTATAACATCCTACTAGAAATAAAACCACCGTGAGTTTAAGATATATCTTGTGAATACTGTTGCGAATCGTTAGTGGCTTTGTAATATTCTCATTTTTTGATCAATCGTTTATCATCCGGTGGGCTTTGTAAAAATTGACAACGTTTATCTTCAATTAAAACTATTTAATTGCCCAGTAATCCTGTCATCTGATATATGAGTAACATATTAGTTCGATAACTTCAGTTACTCCAATGTTTTGTCAAACAAAATGAAACTTAAAGTACATTAATTTCACGGTTAAACAGTCTGTATTTCACCAGTGTTTATTACCCTACGAATGTACTACATTGCATGGAGTCAGTTTCAAGGAGGAACATAATAATTTGTATGTTAAACTCGGAAAGTTTATGCAATATAATAGTTGTTATGCATTATCGCTAATTAGAAAACTATCCACATATTTTCGGAATAATAATATCGGAATAAGCAGTTTTCGTTTTTCACAGTGAACTTCTGCATGTGATCTTCCTTGTTAATAACAATGAAATTATGTCAAGAATAGACTGTTCATTATAAGGTCTTATTAGCTACTCACACTTCAGTTCGATTTACATGGGTCCAGAAAGTATTTACACATGAATATAAATAGTTTAATGTAACAAAACTATTTTTTAAAACATACTATTATCTGGCAAGTATTTGGAGTCACTTGTTTGATTATTTTCAACCGAAATCATATCATCTGCTTCAAGAGAGAAAATAGGATGTTGAAGTGTTTCAAAATGTTCACCATAAGTACATGTAGATGGAGGAATATGCGTTGTGTCATTTTTATTGGATATACTAGTTACTGAACATTGTCCATTTGTTTCCTAGTAAAAAAATATATTATTAAAATGCATTTTACTATTTTAATACTAAAAACTAACATACAAAAAAGGCGATTTATAATTATTAAATTATCATTCGCAGCAAATTGAACTTTTACTTAATAATCATTAAAGTCATACAGGACCAAATGAAATGTCATTACCTGTATAGATCGATAAGGAATATCCAAAGCATGAAAATGTCCGCCCCCATCGCTTTTCGCTGGATCAATACGATGTTCATCCGTAACGTTTAGTGTATCAGGTCTACAGACTGGTGTATTGTTAATACTGTTGTTAGTTGTATGCTGACATGATCCCATTGGAAATTCACTTGATTTCATTTTAGTTGTAGTGTTGTAGTTAAATGAATCGTTCCAGTCAAATAGAGCCATTGTTTCGTTATTAGTTACTTGTAATTCTGAGTAGTCTGGTGATTTGAAAACCGGTTTCTGTGGTTCTGGTTTGGATTGAGTTAACGCAGGAAATCTAAAAATGAGAGATGTATACTATTCAAATTTTTTTTTACTTTTCCTTTGTTTTATATGTAACTATCATGCACAGGTCTATGTATTCATCGTCGAGCCATACTTCGTATAGATGACAAGGATGCTACCAATCTGCTAATAATGAAATGGGTGTGGTAGGGTTCAAACTCAATGCTTTAATTGGAAGTGACTTGCTATTGCTTAGATTTTAAACAAAGTAGGGTTATGTTATAAAAAATCCTACAAGTCCGAGTCATCCTGAAAAATGTTTGACACTGTTAAAACGGAAACTGATCAGCCAACTAAAACATGACAATGTCACTCAACTAATTTGTGAGTATAACTGATTGATGAATAGAACGATGTTAACTGCGTGTTCGTTTTCTCGTTAATAACAAACACGAAGCTGATGGAGCGTAAACATTTCCTGCTAGTGCATGCATGAAAACAAAATATATCGAAATCACGAAACGATCGAAGTTAAACAACTAACTTTGATTAGTTCGTGATTTCAATGAAATTCAACAATTTCTATAACATAATAATAAAATATGTGTTGGATAACCTTCCAAAAATACTAAGTAGTTGAAATTGCTTATTGGTTGAGAAGAACAAGTGTTTTATGAGCTTAAATCAATTAGTCTATAAAGATTCGATTCACATATATACAGCACAAGTATACATATTGTATAACTAACAATTCAAATGTTTTCTATTGATTTCAACTTCAGTATTAGTGATTAAATACAAACTTGATAGGAAGAAGAGTAACTTACTCAGTTGAATATAGCTTGCAGATAATACAGTAAAGAAAGGTATTCAATTGGATGGCTGTAAACACAGCTTTCAAGTACACTGACTTTGTTTTCCCGTGGTTTAACCAATTAATAAATATTGTAGATAAGCCATTTTTAACAGCTATAATATAATAAGGATGTTAACTATAATTACTGAGTGCAAACAAGTTCAATACTGAATAAAATTCAGGTTTCTTTTCAAAGTTTCTAGATCTAGATTGCAATTTTTCCAAGGTTTAGAAGTCTGTACGTCTCTACGTGGCTCATACCAACCATCAGTAACTTTACAGACTTTCCTGATTAGGACATGTGTTACGTATGCCCACCAAGACGAGTTATTTTAGCTGGTAAAAGTAGGATGGAAGAGAGTTGGGTACGGTCAAACCAAGACTCGGTATCAGTCCATAAAATGACCGACTGTTGGCCTAAGCTGTGCTAGTAGGTGGGGACTACCTAACTGAGGTGCATATGATAACCGTGGTCAGTAGTTGCCACAATGACACAGATGAATCCACTATTTATATTCCTCCGGATCTCGAATTCCATTATTTTTCGATACATATCTTTCCGCTATGTCTTTTTAAACCATATTCTCAGTATTTAGTCTTTCTGACTTTCACTACTACCACACCCCTTCAGACTCCTACAATTCATTTTTTGTTTCCACCTCGTGCTGATGTGGCAAAGCACATCTGTCCCGTGCTCTTTGTCAAGGATGTCTATTTTAATACCTTCGATGCAACCGAACTGTTAGAAAGACAAAATCTAGCCTGTAAGGAATAAATATTTAGGGAGAAAACTAGGTATCCGTAATGATGCATATAATTTATGTCCATAAAATATATAAGAGATTTTCCCGTAAATAAGAGTCTGTAACTTACTTTCTTGTATTGCGTGTGTGACAATATTTTGTTCAGGAATGGTAACAAATTCTTCAACATGTTTGTCCAACAAGTCTTTAGCATCCCAACCAAGTATTGATAGTGAACTAAAGAAATTTGGGTAATAATAAATAAATATAGGATGAAAAATATAATACCGTCAAGAATAACTACGTACATATGTTTAAAAGTGGATTGAGATAGTTGGGAAAACTCAAGGGGAAGTGAATAAAGAATGTGTCTAATTTGTATATACTGTAGACTGATGGTTAAGAGTTATTTAAAAAAATGAAATCAGAAAGTTGTGTTTAAAAAAGTTAGACATTGTTACGATATTTCTACCCCAAGAACAATGATTAAATGTTAATGTAGTGTATGCACAATATTAGTGCTTAGTCCCACTCGGAGATATGCCAGAACGAAGCACTGCATAAAACGGGTTACAGAGAGACGATGGAAAATCACAAGTGTAGGGGGCTTTATACAAACACTATTGGTAGTACCGACGAACTAATGGTGAACGAACAGACACGAGGGTCATAGTTTATATTCAAAACGACGTGTTTTCCGAAGGGTTATACAACGGTATCTTTGCATGAACTGAGAGTTTCGTTTACATTTTATGTCGTATTAATGATTTGTGAGGGGTGCTCTATTTAGGAGTGTTTTAATAAGTCTTATTTGGGATTGGATTAACTGAATACATAATTACTTGCACTTATCCAATGTGATCCACATTTTAACAATCGATTTCTATATTATCAATGTTATTAAGAGTAGAATTTTTGATTTGATAAACGAATTTCCGGTTGTAAAAATGAATAAATAGATTGGTTATTGATAGGTGATATTTCATGATACCATACGGCTGAGTGATGGCTGCTGACGAAACCGAATTACTGATGTGAGCTCTCAAGTGAATTTAGATTAAAGGCAAAACTAATAGTCAGATAAATAGGTCTTTTTTCTAATAGAATGGTATACTTATACATCAAATATATTGACAGCTTAGATTGACTCGTGAATTCAACTTTGAAAATATTGTGGTGTATGGTACATATGCCTGTCGACATAAGTAACATGTCACACCAATCAAAAGTTGAACGGCTGGCAGTAAAAGACTAAAAAGATCGAGTTTAAGAAAACAGAAATGGGAATTGAAAAGAATTGTGAACTGGAAGGATCATACGGAATATGAAGGACAAATGATGGGATTTTGAAAAATGAGGTATTCAATGTGTGGTTCCCATATTTTACCAAGATATCCTGTAATTTTGTATTAAACAATAAATTAGTCGTCCCCACCTGTGTTCTTGTTCAGTACAAAAATGAAAAACACAAGGGTCATAATGATAACTGACTCGTGAATTCAACCGTTATATTACCACAATCTCCACAATAATCATGTGCTCACTAGTGACTAGTTTCAAGATGAGTTTCCTGGAGTTCTAGGCATAAGTCGTGACCAGTGGAGTCCAATCCGTGTTGGGTGTGAAACATTTATCCACCTCAGACAATGAATGAAGAATTGTGCCAGATCATGGATCTTGTTAGATGTTAAGCGTTCACGCGCGAGACTGAAGGTTCTTGGTCTGAGTCCCGCGTGCGAAGTCGTGGATGCGTACTACTGAGGAGTCCCATACTAGGACGAAATGGCCGTCCAGTGCTTTCAGGTTTTCAATGTTGGTCTAGCTCAGATTGACTCGTAAGTTCTACTTAGAGAAAAATATGCATTATAAAGTGTCATAGGAAATTGTGGGTTTTTCACTCTGCAGTTAATTAAATTTGATCATTAGACCTAATGCTTGTCGATCATATCACACTGTCATGTAATAAATGAAAACAATCAATGACTTATTCATAAGCAAGAAGAATAGTAGCACTCACTTTCCAACAACTTCTGTTATTGACAAAGTATTCACTCCAATCCGTAAAGTAACATGATCAGAACTGATAGTTTTATTAGGTGAAGTGGGTTTCTCAAATGAATTATCGGAAACAGTTGGACAAGCTATATCCAAAGGGCGACAGACACCACGGAATAAATAATAAGCTTCGGAACAATCATTATCATCTAATTGTACGGGAGTAATAATTCAAAAATTATCAATACGACAATAATAATGAATAAACAATATGATTAAGTTTAGAATTCATGAAGTTAAATCTGATCAACAGGCAGAAGCAAAAGCCATTCATATTAAAAAACCGTAGCTGTGTGTACAAAAGAAATATCTCCAACCTCTTCTCTTACCATGACCAATATCAGGGCTATTTAATTAATAGTAATCTTAACTAGTGAAATAGCTAATCTGACTAATGTACTTACAGCCGTTCTTAGTTAAATATAATCCCCCTTCGTTATATTTACTCACAAATTTTTATATTATTATTATTATTGGTTTAACATTTCTATTAGTCTCTCGAACACAGGATTAATCTACCTAGCGCTCACCACTTACTAATTTCATACAACTTTATACACAATATAGCCTTCTACTGGACATTGGATTGAATATGTAATTGTACTATTAGTTCTCTCATCCTATCTGATCCATATTTACCCTGCTAATGAATCTCATAATTTCATTTAATGCATAAGCTGATTCAAGTTAGTCATCTCAAAATTAACAATTTTATTCTATTCAACAATCCTAAGTTCATATGATATGATTTTTAAACGATATATTTTGCCTCAAAGCTGACTTTTTGGATTATAGTTATCTCTTTATGGTTCAAAATGATTTTCGGAGGAAAATGTAAACAAGAAGAATAAATCTACCAGCAAACAGAAACATGTGTTGGTTTTTTTCTAGAGGTAGTAACGCATTTAAACAAACAATAACATACTTTGATAAACAATATCCCCACAGAATTCTATAAATCGATATAGCTGACCATCAGAACCACGTATACAATTTTTTACTGGAATGCCAGATCCGCAACGCATGGCAATGATGAAATTTCTTGAAACGAGGTCTATGAATGCGTAAATAACGAAAATCATAATGTCTAGAATAAGAGGAGAATAAGCAAATGTTTAAATGTATTGCTTACAGTTACACACGGAATATTCGAATTATTGAGTCTCGTTTTTTAGCGCAACTAGTCATTTGTTATCGAATCTTAGTAAAAATAAGTCTTGATTTATTTCAGCTTATAAAACAAATATCCGACGATTTTTCATGCACTAAGATAAATAAATTAGAGTGGAGAGAATCAACAACCAAGTCATAGCGGTACTATGCGGTGTACAGCATCCATACCTTAAGAGAATGAAGTAATGTCCTTTGGGTGTTATGATGAACACATCGATGGTTAACCATCAACAGTTAATTTTTTATTTCAGTAAACGTCTACTGTAGCTTGACTGTTTTTTGGATCCAATAACGAAATTTCTAGGAACATTGAGAAAAATAATCTCAGGTGAATTACCAATGGACAAAAAGTAGGTTATCGACCAATTCGGTAGCTTTTAAGAATGGATTAATTTGAGGAAAGCATTTTTTACCAACCGATATCATTATAAAACCACTAAACTTAAAAAGTGGACCAATAGTTGTTTTTCCCCGCAAAAAGCACCTCTCGAACTTGAAGATGAAGAGAGTTTCAATGAAATTTTAAATACTGTTTAATCTAATCTAATCTTATCGCAACACACTGAATGGTGATTTGTTAAATTCATGATTTCTTTAGAAAATATTCACATTCACATACATATAAGTTATTTGATTCGCTGGAATTTCACACTGTATACATTTATAAATCATAAACAATTATGAATAATATCAATGTATAGGGATTTGTGAAGATTGTAGGACTTTTGTACTTTAAATCATGAACTGATTTTAACTAGAACACCACTCAAAACCTAATAGCATTGAAGTGAGTTACTCTGAAAGTTCTCTGGCATTTGAATGATTTTATCTATACTGAGAATATGTTCATTAGTAACTCCTGGCATTCTAGTGCGAAGCTATAATTAATGGGGTTCAACGATGTCGAGTGTGAGATTGTTATACATTGTATGCAATTGATAATAATTGGATAACATTGTAAGTTGATTGAAGTCATATATGTACACTGTTGGGTGCCAAATCAGCTGTAAAACGGTCGCTTGAGACCGAAGATCCTGCGTTTCTGTCCCCTATGGAGACATCATGGATGTGCACCACCAAGGGGTTTTATACTAAGACGAAACAGTTATCCAGTGCCTCTAAGTTTTTAGTAGTGTTCTAGCTAAGATCAGTTCGTGATTTAAACTATGGAATTTATAGATATTCAGGTAACTATAAGAAGTGATTATTTCACAATAATTTTTTAATGTTGATTTTTTGAACTGTGCCATTTCTTAGTGTTAAAAGGTTACGAAATCTATTATGCAATATTTCATGTTCGAAAATAGCTAACTGCTCTTATTACAGTAGCGCACTCGAAATCTTATTCAACAAACTCTCAGTTTCGATTTCCGAATTGGTAGTATAGGTAATAATAATGTGTTTATGAAAATAACTGAATGATCGACAAATTTATTGGGAGATCGGGTGGTGGGTACCGTGTTAATTATTGAGAAAGATATTATAATTATTCAATCAATGAATTGACACACATGTAGTTATAGAGTTCATTCACTGCATAAGATAATACAGTAGCAACAACCTTATGCAGCAAAAAACAAACCAGATACCAGCTGAAGAGGAAATTAAGAAAAGAAGCTGAAGGTGCACAGGACACATATTGAGGAAATCACCAAACTGCATCACGAGGTAAGCCCTAACTTGAAATCCTCAAAGTAAAAGAAAAGGAAGTACACCAAAGAACTCATACTGCGCCGGAAATTCAAGGATGAAATCAAAAGAACGAATAGCATTTGGCAACAACTGAAAGGGAGAGCTCAGGATATAGTAAGTTGGAGAATCCTGGTCGGCACTCTATGCCTTATGTAGTAACAGGTGTAAGTAATAATATAATGCTAGAGAATGCTTTAAGAGGGCTGATAATTTGAATAGCGATAACAGTTACGTAAGTGTGAAACGAATGTTACAGTTATATAACAACGAAAAAACGGAATTTTTTGAGAAAAAGACATTGGCTAAGAAAAGAAAGTGTATAGTAAGTCATTTGTAACTCAGCCTAGTGTTTAATATTCCGATAATGATTGCACAAGTTTCTTATGAGCACAGTGGTTAGATTCGTTAATAAGGATGACGATGTGTTTAGCTGTATATGTGGTGTGCGCTACTTATATCGATATAAGTAGTATATGACGCGAGTTAAAAACGTAATGTCTGGCAGCAGAAGATGGGGGAAGATCAAGAAAGGAAGAGCGGGAACACAATGCAATTTGTATGAAAACGCATGAACAATGAAATGTCAGACAATCGATTGATGTTTGCAACAGGAACAGTCCAGTTTGATATGATGGATTGATATTTTGCAAATTAACGATTTACTATATGGTTGTTAGATTTTACTAAGCAGTTCTGTAATTTTATGCCAAATACATTCGATTGTTCCCACCCGTGTTCTTGTTCACTACATATATATGAAAGATGTATGAATAAACTGTGCGCTAAATTCAAATAAACTGATAAATGATTTGAAAGGTTTTGTTTATGTTCACTTAGTCAGTCAGCTACAATGTAGGGCCAGGCACATATATGCATCGGTCCAAGTTGCCATACCGCATTAGCACAACAAGCTGATCACCGGATTCATAGAAGTAGTTAGTTCAGTGGTGGTAATATATAAAACAAAGATTGCATATAAGGAGATAGTACAAGAAGAAAGAATTAGTTCGTAGAAAGATATGAAGCGATTTTAATCTCTTAGTTTAAGGGAAGACAGAATGTATACATCAACGCCATTGTGATCGATTCTGAGCGATATCAACAAGTCTCCAACCATTGGTTACGATAGTCACGCGGACCCCAACCAAGTAGTCACCATCTACCAACATGGCTCAGCACAGAAGTTAGTGACTTCAAGCACTGATGCCACGTTTTGGTTTGATCATCCCCTAACTTTCTTCCAACCATCCCTAACACCAGTTAGCATTACGCGTCGTGGTAATCGGTGTTCAGGCATACGTAACACGTGGCCCAACCATCTCAGTCGATGAAGATTCACAACCTCATCAACTGATTTACCATCATTCCCTAATACGTTGCGTCTAACCTCACTATTTATTATTATTATTTTATTTATTTTAACACATAGGTATTGTTACAAGGAGGCACCAAATACATATGCGCCACACGAATCGCAATTGATTTGTGTGAGGGCCGTGATACTGCCCGGGTGCCCAAACCTCACTATTACTTACCCGGTGATCCCAGCAGATGCGAGCAATATTTCTAAGGCATCTGTGGTCAAATACTAGTAGCTTACGAGCATCTTCTACTCTTAAAGACCATGTTTCGCAGCCGTAAAGTAGAACAGAACGAACTTTCGTGCAGTATACTCGTCCTTTTATTGATAGACGGATATCTCGCCTTCGCCATGGGTGACGTAAGTTGGCGAAAGCCAAACGAGCTTTTCGAATCCGTGCTGAGATTTCGTCAGACACCAACCCATTAGGGCTGATCAGACTTCCAAGATAAGTGAAGTTGTCAACGCGTTCGACTACTGCATTTGATATTTCGTATCAATCAGGTCAGTAAAAATAAGGCTCTTGATTAACCTTGTATGCTAACAAGGATTATGGCAAATGAAACATACTAACATCGTTTAGTTAAAGATTTTTGACTATATTTCAACGACATAACCAATGGAAAATAAGTTTAGATAGTATAAAAATGTTACACGTGTAGCTTATAGTCTAAAAAAAGAGCTTCATAGGTTTGCTTGAGATGCATCAGTATAAGAAAAAATAGAATATTCACGAAAATAATTTCAATATGAATACATATTTTACAATGGTATAAATATATTTTGCTATTACTTACGTCCATCTCTTGCTTGTTGCATCTCTGAACCATAAAACATGAGACTATCAGTGATAATTCTTTTTGTATTAACACTTGGTTCAGCTAAATCATAAATTGTTTTGCCTAGAAAACTGCTCTAGAACAAAATGAAAAACAAACAGCAAACAATGTTAGCATAATACAAAAGATAATTGAAAAACTTATTAGTAGCCAGATAGCTTTATTGATAATGCTAAACATTTTTTTCTAATGATAATTAAGGAATAACTAACAAAAACATATGCGACTTGATAACCTTTAATTTCGGATCATAATTTAATCTGATTACAGTAGTCTGTTCAGTTGCTTAAGTATTATAATACATTTTTTTCGGTTTACGACTTGCTTTAACGAATTAATTAAGTATTTTCAACTCATAATGTAAACAGGAGTTCACCAAACCTTATAACTTATCGTGATGCTAATTATATAAGTTTATGAGGCGGAAACACCACAGTAGTTAGTAAATTTTCTTCCTTGTTCACCCATTGTAAGAATTATATCAGTTACTAACCGCGTATAGTTTTGTACATCTATTTTAAGCCACATTTATGTGTATGTGAGCTTGTGGTCGGTTCGCACCCAACTACCCGAAATGAAGTGGACGAATCGAGATTCCAGCCTACGATTGATCGGCTGAAAATTGAATGCTATAGCCACTGAGTCACCGGTCTTCAGAAGAAAAAGACAAAATTATATTGATATTGACGCGTAAAACATACAATACAAAGGTTTTACGATAATGTGACCAGCATCCATATCTTACAATGTGACATATTGTAAAGGCAGAACTGTCGAAAGACCTGTACAGTTGAAGATAACCGGTACATAATGACTAGTGTGTTTTATTTAACAGACTATTCGAATTTTTACGAGTAAAATGTATGTTCAACAAGGATTAATTGTAATACATGCTGTTTTTGCCGATAATCCTCTACAATAACCAGACATAATATAGAGTGAGATTGCTTATTCAGTAAAATTTGACTCATAGATTTTTTATTTACAAACGATCATTTGACGCTAAATAATTGTGTGACGCATTTTGTCGTGATATTGTATCGGGTCTTGATGCTTAAATAAAACGTAACCTATTTCTTGGATAGTCACTTGAATTATGACAAGAAAATAGCCAATAACGAAAGAGATCCATTGTATTATCACTGAAGAAGAAAGAAGGCGATTCAGCGAATGAAATCGTCGGAAAGAAAATTTCTAGGTTGAATCGCCTTCATTCTTCTTTATAAAAATTGCTATTTGTCAAACAAATACTTTATTGATGTAGACACGAAAATAACTACACGTTACTGTGTATTACTCAAAACTGTGGACTTGCACTTAAAATATTTCGGAAAAAGCACTGAATTTTGGATTAACAACCTTAAAATGTAAGAGTAGATATGGTTGATGAATAATGGTTTTATTCATACTGCCTTTTCAATAGCATTGTAAATTTAATTCATAAACTGATAGTCTGTACTTAGATTCTTCCTGTGAATTTCATTTCGAAAGTTTCACTCGCATAATTATAGGTTAGGTTACTACTCACTGTAGTATATACAGTTAAACAGGCGCTAGATAAAAGGTAACACAAGTCCCAGAAAGCAAGTTCTAGAGCCAATCTAGACCATCAAGTTATTATTAGTGATCATGTGTACAGTTTCATATTCACTGAGTCTTAAGTGGATACAAAAAATACCAGTGAGCATGGTGTTTGAGAGTCACTTATGCTAATCTAAACACTTATGTGACTAGGTTTAGACTTTCAGATACATTATATTTGCTTATGAACTCCATTTCGTTGAAAATGATAACAACAATAATACAGTTCACAACACTCATGAAAATAATCATTGAAAAACTAACTTGAGGAATATCAAGTACTTTTTCAGAGTTTTCTTCATATAATATTTCACCACTGGAACATTTGACATGTATACCAAATCCATTAATAGTCTAATAGTATATATGTATTAAAAATGTATATATATATTTGATAAACAGGTGAAATGAACAAATCTTACATTGATAACAATTCGTGAATATTCTTCATCGTTGATGATATATTCCCTTTTTCCTAATTTATCTAAACAAAGTATACAGTATATTTGAAAAGAATGATAATAATAGTGATAATAATAACAATAATGATGGTCATTATGATTACTACAGTAATTGATAAGCATCAAACATACTGTTATAATGAATAAGTCGTTCGGCTCCAGCAAGAAAAATGGATAATTTATCTTTACATTGTGAATGTGGTACTTGACGGTGTAGAAATTCTGTTTCTAATTTCATTCGTTCACGACGTTTCCTTTCTATTTCACTATGACTTTCTCTGTATAGTAAAAGAAATAATAATAGTAAAATAAGTAGTGAATAAAATGAATGATTATGATTAATAGAACTTTGCATTTTCCAAGTTATTAAATAAATAATACACTTTGTTAAAAGTAGCTCGCCCTTGCCATGTGTTGAGATCATAGACAAGTAGATAAATACATATATATATATATATATATATATATATATATATATATATATATATATATAACAGAGCAAGTCACTAGACATTAAGATGTAAATTCTCAGTAAACTATTTCAATATTTATTGATTTTAGGCACGTCTGTTGGATCGTTATTGAATGAACTAGAAAACTGCCAATAATAAGAACTGAGCACTAAATAAAGGGTAACTGATTTATACAGCAATCAATGAATAGTTGCAACATACTGAATAAACTAATAGCATAACATCAGGATACAGAATAGGGGAAATGAAGTAATACCATTACGAAATAGTAATGATAATGCTAATAAATAAAATGAACAAATAAAGACGTGACCAGGAGTTGCATTTTCCTTGGCAACTTAAGGATCCTAAAAAACCACACTCATAACATTTAAGTCATATAATTAATAATTTCTACAACCATTAGTTTGTCAAAGCTATAGAAGTTTGGCTAGAGTATGAGAAGGGATCGACGAATTATGAATTACATAATGTGCCCAATTAAGAAATGACGAGTTCAGTGCTTCTTCTAGATAAATTTTTCTTGAAAGCGGTGTTATAATTCTCTCTTATTACAACCCAGCTATGCCTATTGCTTAGTATTCTCGGACACCAATTCACTCGACAAGTCCCCAAATCAGAACACGGCTGAACAGGAATGAGATTATATTCCAAATAAAAAGGTTAGATGGAAGTAAGAAGCACAATAGGAAAAACGTTAGTATATTTATAGTTTTTACATGAGAATATTTCTAGAGTATTCTCCAAGTATCGACTAGCGCTGATTGGACAAGAATTAGCCAATCAACGTGCGCCAAAGCAATCGTGCATTGAGCATGCTTTAATCCAATCTATGTCCCGCTAACACCTCCCCTTTGAGCAAATTCGTAGGATCTGGTGCTAGGGTCCAACTGCAACCGAGTGACTGGCCTTAGCTTTCGATTTGTCCATCGTCTCGGCAATAAAGAAGTATCACTCTTCGCTTGCACAGAAACTGACCTGTCTGTTTCAGGCGTTTTGATTTCAAAGGTGTCTAGCAGAACACTGAGAGGTTATCCATATTGAATCTCGTTGCTGGCTATCGAAGTTGCCTTCAATTGGTTAGCATGACGTACCCAAACTTCTGAGCCAACTGACACCTCATAAACCACACTCCCCTTCTTTTTCAAGATCCGACCAGTTGTCCATGTAGGATGTTTCTCACGATAGTCCATACCAAGTACTTTTTGTCCCAATGTAAACAATCGTCTTTGTGTCCCATGATGTCGATTGGACTGATTCTCCATAGAAGGTTTCGTTGAGGCTTAAGAGCTGGCGTAGGACGGATGACATCGAAATGTGTTCGTATTTTTCTGCCAAGTAGAGCTTCTGCTGGAGAGACCCCGTTAATCGTCTGAGGGTTCGGTGTAAAGCGATAAATAAGCAGGAACCTCTCTAAGATCTCTTCGGTGGTCCCCTCCCCTTTGGATTTTTTAGAGCATTTTTAAATGTACTCACAAAGCGTTCCACTTGACCATTTGATTGGGGATGGAATGGAGGTGTTCGGACGTGATGGATTCCGTTCTGCCGACAAAATTGTGAGATTACTGACGTAAAGTGTGTTCCGTTGTCACTAACTATCGATTCCGGGACTCCGAAACAACTGAATATTTGACGTAGCTTATTGACTGTGCAGCTTGCAGTCGGGTGTTCCATGAGAAAGATTTTTAGCCACTTGCTATATGCATCAACTACCAAAAGGTAAGTTTGTCCATGAAGTGGACTAGCAAAGTTTAAGTGTATACGCTGCCACGGTGATTGTGGTATTAACCATGATTGCAGCTCTGCTTTTCGCGGTGCTTTCGTTGCTAAAGCACATCTGGTACATGAACGGAATAGCTGCTCCAGTTGGGTGTCTAAATGCGGCCAGTATACATAACTTCATGCTAATGCTTTCATGCGATTTATTCTAGGATGTCCTGTGTGCAATTGTTCAAGCACTGCTGTTTGTAGCTTCTTTGGGATTATGACACGTTCGGCAAACAACAGGCAGTCGTCGATGATGGAGAGAGAGAGTCTACGCTGACTGTGCAGCTTGCAGTCGGGTGTTTCATGAGAAAAGTGAAAAGGATGCCATCTGGAAGCAGATATTCCAACTACGCATGATAAGAAACATGTAATAACTAGAAAATAATCAAAAGCCTACTGAATCAAAGTAGCAAATTTATTGCATGATTGCTAAAGGAAAAAATAAATCAATCAACTGACTGTTCATTGAACACTTTCCAAATTAATTGAGTGGAATATAGAAAACAACTCGAAATCATATGATTGTAATTAAAGCTTGCCATCTTTTGGAGAGTTTATGTTCCACAGGTGCAATGATGCACAGAAATGAAATTAAGATTCTTATTAAATCTGTGAGTTGGTAAATAAGTTCACATTAAATAATATTTACAGAGTAGGAAACAAAAAAACATCTTACTTTTGCAATTTTTCTTTATTCTGTTTACGAAACGTCTGACCCTTTTCCATACTATAGAGGTGCAAATTTTGTCTATGTAAATAATAAGATCTGTTCATTTAGAAAAGTTCAAGCAAAGAGATAAGAATTACCAGTTTGACATAAAACTTTTGCGCTAGAAATGAAATTTGGTTAATTTAACATATAATACAAACAATCAGATAGGTATTATACCATTTTTTAAAACTGTGGAAAGGCAATGAACTAATAAGAGATTGTGCACTGTTATCTTTGGGATTTAATGAATCTCCCACAGATATTTAGATTCACCAAACAGTTTGGATGTTTGAGGGTTTTGAAAATTGATTTCAGCTGGTTTTTTTCGCAAAAAAATTATGGATGCAAAATATGCAAATGTCTGTGCATAGCTGTTCATGTTACCTACATACACAAGTTCTACAAAACCTGGCTATATTCATAACTGTGTTAATACAAATGTATGGGCCACTAGCTACAAAACAAGTGATTTAACTATACAATGCAGATAGTTCGGTGTAACTGATTGAATACATGACAGAAATTGGACTAACCTAAAAGCGTTCCATAGTTAGCACCACCGTAACCAAACATAGATGGTGCTTTTGAGAAAGTATTAAGCAAAATTTCATTCATATTTTAAAACAAAATTTTCTGAATAAAAATAGTTCATTTGTTTTGGTTACTTTGCCAATTATTTTATATCCTTTCTGCTAAATCTTCATAAACTGAGATAGGCAAGATGCATGCTATGTATACACAATCACTGGCTGACATGATGTATTGTTTAGTAAAGGAGTACACCAAAAAAGTTAGAGGGGGCCCAAACAAAAATATGGCATTGGTCATAGGCCGCTGGTTTGAGCCATCTTAGTAGATACAGAATACCTGGTTGAGGTCTGGGAACAACCGCGACCCGGGGTTGGAGATGTTCAGTAACATTGTTCAGAATCGGTGTGAGTGGTATAAATGGACTGATTTTTTAATCTATCCTCAAACCCTAAGGTTTAATATACTTCCATATTTTTTATTTCCCGATTTATCTCTTTTTCTTAGGACCAGTTGTCAAATAACTAATCATTTTCATTAACACACACTACAACAATTTCGACCATTTATTAATTTTATCTAGCTTCCTTTATGTAAAACGGTGACTTGGGCTGACAAATTTTTGCTAGGCTGATTAAAACCGGCCGACTTATGGTTTCGTAGACATACTATTTACTTGGTATGTGGTGTGAGACCACTAGTAAGGAAAAAATATGTAAAACAATCACTAGGGCTGCTTTTACGTTTACCGGTTATAATGGGCATTAATCTGACAAAGATGTGTATCTGTGTAAGTTATTGTACAATATAAGCATAAAGAGATAAAATGATCAAGACAAATCTTAGAATAGTAGGAGTAATAACAGTATCAATAGCACTAGGAAAGACTAGGTATAAACAGTATGATTCTAGAAAAAGACGAGTTCGTAGAGTATGAAATCGTAAGGTATTTTCAAAACCTAAGATCTAAGAAGAAACAAAAAGTAAATGCATTTGTACCATTTTAACTAATTCTGATTTGTTACTCATTGCTTTCGATAATCACGAGGACCCCAATCAGGCAGTCTGTATCTACCCCATATGACTCAGAGCAAAGGTCATTGGCTTTACGTACTGATGTCTTTGCTTGGCCACTCATAGCTTTCTCTCAAACCACCCCTACATCAGAAAATATCTCGTCAACGTAGGTGGTGGTTAGATATATAATGCACACACCAGCTATCTCAGTCGATGAGGATTTGTCATGTCACTAACCGATTTCCCAACTTTAAAACCTCATGCTTAAACTTAACATTGATCACTCGGTGGTCCTAACATATATGAACAACACCTCAAAATCACCTCTATTCAAGCTTTAGTAATGTAAGAATATCCTTTATTTTTGGTGACCGTATTTTGCACTCGCAAAGTTGACCAGTGGAAACCTCAGAAACTGTTAGCAGAGAGGTTCAGGACAAGGTTCACAATGAAATGTAAACAACGACATAGCTGAAAACGACCTATACTGAGATCGTAGCGTTAAATTTCTTAAGAAATTATCACGTACTGCATAAAATGCGTTGACATAGAAACAATAGAACATTAAGTTGAAAACCGCGTAACATGAGAAAATATGGCGATGAATCCTAACATATTGTGAAAAGCAAAGATGAGTGCAGATAAATATTGGAACACTGTACACATCCGTTGTAAAATCCTTTAAAAACATAACCACCACGCGATAGACAAGTGAATATATGGTTGCCCGACACATCAAGAAAAAAAATATTAGAAAACAAGAAAAAATATGTATCTGAAAGTTTGGTTTCTAATTATCCAGAGATATTATCAGTTCTCTGTATTAGTTCGACAGCTTTTGTAACTGAATGACATTTAACTCGCTCAATAGACTATAATTTATGGACAAACCAATCACGTATAACATTTTGGCACGAAATTCCCTTATTCATTCGGATAAATAGTTTTGGCATTATAGCTGATGTCAGTTTGTGATCAAAAACCTGAATCTAATTTCTAATAAGAATCATCAGCTGTAATTTGTCATTCTATTTTCTCACACAGGTTTATAACACTCATTTGGTTCTCGTTATTAGGTTGACACTCACAAGGTCAGCCTAGTGTCGCTCAAAGATCTTCCATAAATTATAGTCCCACTACAAAGAACTCCAATGTCAACATACTCACTGGATAACAAGAATCTAGTTAAGGAATTCCAAGATAAAAACAAACTCAACACCGGTTCGGCCTAGACGATTTAACTATGCGCCTAAAAACGACCTACTTCGAAATTCAATACCGAATATCGATTAGATTAGAACAAGCTATTCTTTTGATAAATACAGATAAGATATGACGATTATTATTAAAAGTTCTATGTATAAGAATCAAGATGAAATACAAGATGTTTCAGTAATTAAATATTTGGTCCCATATTGTGTACTGTAGACAATATCCATTCCGCATTAAAGATCTTTAAAAGAAAAAGCTTGAACTATTATGACCAGTAAGAGGCTTTAAAGTGTAACTACTCTAAAAAAGTAGGATGTGCTTTACAACTTGGCATTAGGTACTGATCGTGTACTCTGTATCTACCTTTCAATTTTTATGCTCGGACTGAATGTATATAACGGCTTTATAGAGGCCAAAAATATGCGCAAAATGTTAGAACCCACTGTGCATTACAAAAAACGACTCAAAGTGAATGCTTTATCAAGCATTTGACATTAAGGCAGAACTTTTCAGGGAATACTGAACACTACATATTTCTAGATAACAACGTGGACCTATGAGAAACACGTCTGCTCCTCAAGACAGCCAGTTCAGGGATTTCGCATTAGTTGTCTGTATTTGACTGAAAATGAATTCTTTCCTCATCATCAAAGCACTCCTCCTTGTTTATTCAAGGTGGCAATCTCTGACAGGCACATGGAAATTAGTATCTTTTTTTATCGTATTCGATAAGATCGCCAAGGATGTTGAACTATCATTTTCGAAAAATGTGGTAATGAATTAAGTACATTACGTAACAGTTTAACGAAAACAAAGCAGACATTTTGAAATTCATTTGTATCAGCTAAGCTGATTTCTTTAGAATGCGTGAGTTTAAGCCTGCGTATTAGAGGTGTGTTTCTATCGAACGACAGCATATAGGTAACTTTATACGCAACGACCAAAGTTTAGATATATTTGTCTAAATGAGGAAAACGACGTTAATTTTATTCAGTTAATCCACTGACTTTTTGTAAGCTACGAGACTTTCTTCAGTCATTTACAGTAAACAATTTTACCTCAACGGTATCAATGAACATTAAAATGCTTATGAATCTGTCGTATCACCGCAACAAACTAAATGAGACAATAGTGAATAATTCAGAAATATCGATCAGTAACAATAAGGTCGGACTTTCGTATTTCACAAATTAACTTATTATACGCCAAAAAATCACTAAATACAACTCAATTATCTGGGATGTTCTCGAAAGAATGTGCTCAAAATACTGTTCTCAAGAATCAGATAATGCAGCAGTCTTTTTGTTATAATTAGGAATGTCTGATGGTACAATTTACATTTCATAAAATTAGATGAACACAAATAGACGTATTGCATTTAGAATTCGGAATCAGGGAGACATCAAGTACAAAAGAATAATCAATTCATACAAACACCGCACTTTTGCAACTGACAGACAGAGAGCAACAAATAGCAGTCTCTGCAGTACACAACCTTGTGTTTAGTCACATGAGATATTGTTGTTGATATCACTAAGTTATAACAAAATAGAACATTGAAGTATGATAATTAGTAGTTCAAATATTGAGCTAACTGGGAACTCCCAGAAGAGTTCAGTCTATAGTGTTTAACCTAATGAAGACACTTTAAAGTTTATTTGGAATTCCTAATAGGCGCGGAATCAAGTACAAAGAAATCATTGGTTAATACAAATACCATACAAAGGAAAGTCTAAGCCAGGGTCAAATTATATGGATGTAGTCAAGAGTGGTTGTGAAGTATCACAATGCGCCTGCACAAGTAATGAATGTCGCAAACGAAATAAACATGGAGCACAAAAATTGAAAGTAAAATTGCTATATTGTAAGGTAGAGCACGATGATCATAGGTGATCTGTGTGGAGTGATTGGGTTCCTACTCAAGCTAGACGGGAATGGTGTGACCAACCAGGCAATGTCGAAAGCACACATCATTGTTAATAACATAAAGTGGGTTACGTTTTCGTCCTTTCCAGGTATCATGACTACTTCGATGACCGCAAAATACAAACAACTTTATTGCAGAAATATACGGGTAAGAGTGGACACAAGAAACACAGTGCGTCCACCAGCGCATGGTCCAGTTCATGGTGCGCAATTAACTGACGCGCGTTGCTTGCCCTTGACCATGATGAGGGTCGTTGAACTGTTCGACATTCATTTACACAACTGTCGGATGATTTGGCTAGGGCCCAGTGAAATTTTACTTGCCCTATATGCAATTTTCTGGGGTTTTTTATGTATTTGTTCTGTCACCTTATGCTTTCACAATGTTTTGTTTGAATACTTTGCTTGTTTTCTTAAAATATAGTGATTAAGTGCAAATGTTTCGGCTACTAAAGATTTTATAGTGGATATAATGATGTCTGTTTGTTTTCGATTTTCAGTAGTTACACTGAGTAGATTATAAATAATTTGATGAAACAGTTAATACTTGTTTATGATTTCAACAAATCTGATCAACTATGATAAAACTGATAATCAATGAGAAATCCACTTACTGCAGACATAAAGTCAGTAATAATCGTTATTATCAACATGCCAATCATAAATTGAATATCCTCGAAAAGGACACTACAATATTGGACCTAACATAACATACTTCATTTTAAATCAATCGTATTGGGCATTGCACACATGACTGTTTTCGTAGATTTATTAATTGAAGGGACAGATTAGGCGGATCGTTTTTACACTTCCGTAACTTCTGTCGGATAAGCTACGGAAGTGATTTATCCAGAGCGCCATTCAACCAAACAAAAAGGTGTGTCTGAAGGATGAGATTGACAGGGAATTTACCTCAGATGAATGCTATTTGTATAATGATGATGATTCATAAATGTTTATTTTGCAGAATAGAACAATAATGAGGAATACTTGTAGGATCTTGTTTGAAAGTTTTTTTTATTGTGTTGGTCCATTCCTTTTTTATCGTGTTGCTTAAACTGACTAAAATCGCTCGTTTTCGATTGTGAATTTAGGCACATTTCCGGAGCTGGAAATACTCAGTGTTATAACAAAGTTAAATATTGTTTTCTGAGCAATCTGTACGTGGTCTCTCCAGAAAGGAAAAAATATTATTATTGTATTAACATTACCAAACTTATTCAATAGTATATTTTGGTTCAATATAGAGTGCTGAGCACAAAGCAGGGAAGTTTATTTTTCTAACTGGATTTAATCATTGATCGAGCAATTACTAGCTAAATCACTGGATGGTAATATTTGTTTGGAACGTTCTTCACCCAAACATTCTGTTTTGGATTTCAACTGGGTAACAGCATGAATGTCTAAACTAGCCTTCATACTTGTTCATCATCCTAAACTGCTCTAATTTAGAGGCTACAATATCAACATTCATGAAATTCTCATCTTCAGCATCGATGAAATAGAAATAGACAAAGAGCAATACTATAGGAGAAACTAATGAGTTATCAAACCAACTGCACGTCTTGGTAGTCAAATGGAAATAAATTTCCTACTTATGTTAACTCACGTTTTTGTCTACCAGTTTACATGTAAATACCGAAGCATATTCACAGGAAGGACGAAAATCAAGGTTATTGTTCATAACTTTGCTCACAGTCTAGAAATATTGAGTTTGTAAGAACAGTATATTTTTCGTGGATCAATCATCCATTATACAATGATAATGCTTCAAAATACTTCAATCTAATCGATGAGCCAGTGACTCCGAATTTATTACGTCCTGCTATTATTAGTCATATTTCATTCAAGCAACCTCGATTTTAATAAATAGTTTCATAACGTCATATCTTACGCTTCTAACTATGGATTCCTTTCGCATCCTGTTTGCTTTTCACTTGAGTTTCAAACAATTAATCGATTTATTATAATTGCTATTACGTCAATTTTGTCTATGTTATCCATTTCTAAAATTTTATCTTGAAAGATTATAACAGAATAGCATGAATTCATTGAATTTCATTAGTTCTCATTAGCTGCCTACAACATGAAAGTTTAGTTGGAGGTTATGTATTTTACACCCTTGCTATGCTATACTAATGTGTCTTCAACATAACTTCTAACTAAACTCTTTCGTGTTGTAAGTAGCTGACGAGAACCGAAGAAATAGAATGAACACATGATACTCCGCTAGAATCTTTGTTCTTGAACTTTTCAAGATGATAAAGGGAACTATAAGTACAAAACCCCTTTTTTTCTCATATTTATCTTTTAGAATATTCAACGGCTGTTGTATAAATAACTAAACGCATAAATGAGTCTTTTAACTATAGCTCACTTTTTTGTTTTCGTTTACCTACATCTATGTTAACCTTAGTCTTAATCGTTTTTAATAAGTTTGATATAGAGCCTGCACCCTGGTCAAATCATCCGGCAATCGAGTAGATGAATGTCGGACAGTTCAACGACCCCCATCATGGTTAAGGGCGAGCAACGCACAAGTAATTATTATTAATAAATGGCTTTATTCAATATTATATTTTGCCACAATATATAATTCTCACCAGTAGGTATTTCAACAAGTTTCTTTTACAAAAACAAAAAAAGAGAAAACAAAAAGGTGAAAAGAGATTTGAATCTGTACAACTTTTTAATTAGAGACATGTTTAAGAATAAAGGTTATTGACTAGATCAACTCTAACAACCTTTTTGTCGCAGATTATATTTGCTAGGTACGGTATTATAGAACTTTTATGACTTTGCTTGTGTGCATGGATTTTAATGTATTGGCATCTCGTTCTACCAGAGGGTATACAAGGAGAATGATATGAATGAAGAGAATGGTTAGTATCTGATAAGATAATACCTGCCAAGAATTTGAAAGATTTTCGATGTCTATCCACAACCATGCTAATAATAACCTCAAAAGATTCACCACACACCATGCTAACTGCCTACAGCACTCTCTGCAATACAGTAGTCTTTTCTCAAAAGCCTGGGAAAGAATAATGGAGAACAGTAAAGAATAATAGGTAATATGCAGGAATTGACAAATTGTAAGAGTAAATGATGAGTAATCTGAAAAGCATGTAGCCTCTTTATTCAGTAAGT